TATTGAAATAACATAAAATTAAACTTGCAAATACTTCAAAAGTATCTCAGCAAAAGCATTAAAAGCAACAATTTCTAAGTGGGAACCAAAACTTTATTAAAAAAAGATTCAGACATTTCAACTTCAATGACATTCAAAATTGAATACATGAAAGTGTATTTAACTTTTGACTCCAGATGATGAAGTTTTACTATCGCTCTCTACGTGGTAAACAGAAAGTATTGTAAAATTGCGGCAAGAAGTGGCGATTTTGCGTCAAAAAAACTCGAAATTTGTGCCACTTCGACCGCAAGAAGAGGGAAAATCATTCTACACGTGTTAAATAATTTTCGCTAAAAGATTATGCAGTCAGAATTCACATTTTGTAGGTTATTGATACTGAAACTAGTGGTCCTACAATAGTTCATATTCTCTTGCAATATTTGTACCGACAACGCCGCATTATTTAGAATTTTTCTTTAATGATTTTGGAGGTGGATATTGGAAATGATGCTTAAAATGGAGCAAGTTCCTTTTGCTGTGAACCCTGTTTTTTTGGTTTTTGTAAATTTCAATCAAAAGATTAATATTGCAAAACTACAATATTAATTATAGAATTATGATGGGCTAATAGTCAAGGGATAATTTGAATGGCGTATTAACTTAAAGATCTTGTTTGTATCTCAGCGCCGAGAAAAATGTTTTTTTCGTTGGAAACACTTTTTCAGATTCATGTAATATTTTAATATTTTTTTCTTTGGTAGAGCAAAGACTGCTGAAAGAGAAAAAAAGGTCTAGGTCTCATTTTCGTTGAAATATCTGAATTAAGAAAATTGTAAAAATCCAAAATTTTTGATTGTCTTCCTATAATTATAATATTGATGATGGAGATTTATTCCTTAACGATATTTGGCTTCAAATTCAGATCTTTCAATGACGCAGTGTACAATTGTTCGAAAATATGGATAGTTTCCAAGTACTTTTGTGTGAAATATAGGCAAATTTAAACAATTATTGTATGAAAAATGGCACCAAATTTTTTCTTTACTTTATCAATGGCTGTAACAAAGTTCGCAATGATGTACAGGTTTCATTTTCGTCACACTCTATTTTCGAAAAAATACAAAAAACTAACATTGCGAAATTACAATATTGCTTATAGAGAGTTTTCCATTTCACGACATTTGTTCTTAAAAAATTGTTCTTTATATAAGATTAAGTGCAATATTTTTTTTTTAAATATCGAATACTTTTCGTTTATTTGCGCTTGAATTAACGCAACTTATAAAAAATGTTTTTCTCAAAAATGATCCAATTTTTTTCTTTGATCGTTTTCCTCGGATAAACAATGATTGAAAAACGACGCAGGTCTCATTTTCATTGAACTTTTTGAATTTTCGATGGCAAAAGTTAAAAATAATACGAGAAAATGTTGCTGTTTCAACACCATTAGTTAAGTTATTTCCACAAAATATTCCTCTGTGCGCTCGTTTATTCTAGAATTCGCCAGTATATTTCATACTGCTTTCGAATTATTAACGGATATCAAAGTGTTCCGGCCAGTTCTCATTATAGTGCCGGACTTTTAACTTTTCTTAGAACAAATTTGGATTGATGAAAATACAATGGAAACTCATTGACCACTTTTGTGTTAGGATTATGAGGCACCGGTACAAACACGTTGTAGAAGGCAAAAACGTCGTTGACAGAACCCAAAACTGCCGTGCCTCCAACTGTGTGAAACTCCAACTTTAGTGTAAAAGTACGGTGGCGTCAAGTCACGATAATTTTGTTTAAAATACAAGTTGAAATGTCGATTGCAAAATTTGTTATAATGTGGATTAATGGAAGTTGCACATTCACGGACTTTCTAAGTTTTAAAGCTCCTGCGATTGCAGTGGCAGTAGATCCCTCATCTTAAGTTTCAGTGAAAGAGAACAGGGATTTGCAATTCGCCTCTCTGCTCGGGGCTCGGTAGTGGGTGCCGGTGCGCGTCTCCGCGGCCTTTCGACACTTCTTCCTTTTCCTCTCGCGTTTTTTAGAGGGCGCCGTTGACACAGACACGGGGGTGGGC